TAGACGTCAAAGCCAAGTCAACTTCTAGTAATTTCTCAAATCTCTCACATGTAATTACAAAATTAAGGGTTTGGGCAATGATAGTGTGTCTCCTGTGGAGATTGGCCACTAGGGGCCAAATTACATCCTAATGGTTGGCTTTAAGCAAGACAGGTAGTAAAGCATACTTCCGTCCGGAGACGTACAAAAAAACTAGTGACTCCAAGTGGATAAAGTGTTGTAAAACTGGCAATGCCAGGATTGAATTTCCCCTACAATTCCACAAAACAATCTCCGTTAGTCAACCTACAGTTGTGCCTTTAAGACTCGGTAAAACACAATTTCCACTCAAAAAAATTTTAGCGCTCAGTATCCAACTTCGTACGACTTTTCCGCGCCTATGGTCTAACATGATGCGTGATGAATGCTCCTCCCTCCCCAAAATTCAACAGACTTTTCCTCGTTATCATAAATGTCAGCTACGTGTTACACAATAAACCATTCTACCTTCATTTCACAGTCTTTGTGTGTTCCTTCCGTGCATTACTATGCGATTTTTCGAGTGACTTTCATTCGCGCCGAATAGGCTATCTTAGCCAGGACTCCCACGTTCACGAAAGAAACGTGTTTTTCTGTAAGGAAGAAGTCCTGATCGACCGCACGACGCAGAAACGGTGAATGAACAAAGCGCTTCTTCGGTGTGCATCTCCCAGTTTCCTCAGCCCCGTGTCGGAGACGATGCACAATCGTGGCCACATCGTGCAGCTTTCCCTTTGACCCATGCATATCGAGAGTGGACGACTACTAAAAGCTCATCCTACTTGAACCCACAGGTAAGCAAGCAACACCGCCAGTGACTCCTCTGGCTACATATAAAACGTTTCAAATAACCCAAAAATCTGGTTTTGCAGCCAGTTTGGCAATAAACACACCCAGTGTTATAGAAATTTCGACCCTTTTTTCCCTACTTTTCCCCTAGGATTAGGATTTTGGGAGAAGGGGATTTATGGAGCCGCCTCATAAGGGAATACATTCTTGCGAATTCCACATGAACAATGCAGTCCGAAATTGCATAAAGCGGATAAAAATGGACCCTGGCTCTTCTGTCTGGTGAAATATTCCTTAACCATTGAAAAGAAATTCTTACAGACTCCTTTTTATTCCTTTACTTAATTGAAGAAAACAACATCTGCCGTACAATTTGCTCGCATTTCAAAAGGAGAAGTATGTTTGAGACTGACTTATAGTCTTTGTTAAAGCACATTTTTACTTACGGTACCACAAGATACGCTAGTGTGACGGCAAAATAAACGGTAGAATTTTAACATGACGGGAAGGGGGGT